TATAGTTATATATATGTCGCACAGTCGCGTGATCTCCTGGATTTTTTTCCTGGACAACAGCCAAAATATTTGCTGGTGTCGCCTGCGCAGCAGTCATATCACGAATAATCTTCTTTGATGACTGGCTGATGCCGCTCGACTGTCGATGGCCCTCGGGATACACAACAAATGAATGATTGTGGAAGCCCTTCTCTTCGTTTAGACACTTGTGGATCATCCAGAATTGCGTTCCGGGCACCCGCTTTACTCTTATCTCAAAAGGGCACTGCACTTGTTGGTTTTCGATTTTCTAGAAGCAACATCTACCTTCTTCTTGCCTCTATAACGTTCGCCTCGTTTGCACTTCAAGATTTTCAACTTTCCTCCTTTTGTGTGTTTCGAAATAGTCAAATTGAAACCATTCAGAAGTGCCGTATTTTTTGCATCATCAATCGCAGCCTCATCACTAACAAAAAATGTAGTTGTATTGAAAGCGGAACTGTAATCAATACCATCTCCTCCAAAATCTTTCAATGACACCTGCAATATATTACAATACTTCAAACATGTTAAATTATAATCTATATAACATAATAATTTTTAACTCCTAACACGATAATATCTAACATTCAATTTATAACTCCTAACGCGACTCGCGAGTTTAAAAGCGCCGAAACAGCCAAAATTCGCGACTCGCGAGCCGAAAGTGGCGAGTCGCGAGGGCAGTCGCGACTCGCGACCTCATCTCGCGAGTCGCGAGTTCATTCGCGAGTACCCTCGCGACTCGCGAGACGAGGTCGTGCGTCGCGAGATTCTGGCACTTTTACCTCTGTCCAACTCGCGACTCGCGAGCCGAAAGTCGCGAGCCGCGAGATTTTGTCGCGACTCGCGATCGAATGTCGCGAGTCGCGAGTTTGACAGAGCCAAAATATACAAAATTTGCGCTGCACGACTTCATCTCGCGAGTCGCGAGAGAGTCGCGACTCGCGACTTCATCTCGCGAGTCGCGAGAGAGTCGCGACTCGCGAATTCATCTCGCGAGTCGCGAAAACACTCGCGACTCACGAATTAATCTCGCGATTCGCCTGATTTGGGTGTTTTCCTATGCTAAACTCGCGAGTCGTGAGTTTGACAGAGCCAAAACTGTCATATTCGATTTCTAACTCCTAAAGCGATAATATCTTACGTTCAATTTATAACATAATTATGTCGAACTCCTAAAGTCCAATTTACAACATAATAATTTCTATTTCTTAACGCGATAATATCTAACATTCAATTTATAGATACACAAATCTAATTAATTTCTAACTCCTAACATAATAATATCTAACGTCCAATTTATAACATAATTATTTCGATTCGATAATATAATAATTTCTAATTCCTAAAGCGATAATATCTAACGTCCAATTTATAACATAATTATTTCGACTCGATAACATAATAATTTCTAATCCCTAAAGCAATAATATCTAACGTCCAATTTATAACATAATTATTTCGACTCGATAACATAATATTTCTAATCCCTAAAGCAATAATATCTAACGTCCAATTTATAACATAATTATTTCGACTCAATAACATAATAATTTCTAATCCATAAAGCAATAATATCTAACGTCCAATTTATAACATAATTATGTCGAATTTATACCACAATAATAATTTCTATAACAGAATAAATTCTAATATTATTTATTTAAAAAAAAAACAATGTGTCTGGCCGGTCGGACCGGACGGACCGGCTACGTCCGGCCGTTGCTGCCGGACACCATATGGGCCGTACGGCCAGTCTGTCCGGACACAGACCGGTGCGTGCGGCCATAAAAACCGTACGTTCCGGTTGTTGTTCGGCTGACCCGGCCGGACGCCATTAAGGCCGTCCAGTTCAGTCGGTTGGACAGGCCCGGTTCCGTCCGATATCGTCTGTCGGACGAAAAAAAAAAAAAATTACCTCAAAAGAAGAGCTCATTTTGATGTAGGGAAAAAATGAAAAGGACAAAATCATCCAGAAGAATGGTAACTAATAATAGGGACGGTAATTAGTAACGCCCCTCTCAAAATCAATGCCACAATTTGCAGAAATTAGAGAAGAAAAAGTTATAATTAGCGCCACACAAAAGTCTTATTTTTTTATAAAATAATAATAATCATAGTCACCGTAACACACGTCTATCCATATATTTCGTGTTGAATTTTCAGTCCTTCCCCCTCCGCTCGAGAAAGTTTATTACAAAGCTCCATTTTTATTTCCTAGATCTGAGCTCCAGTTCAATTTCATGTCGAAAATCTAGGGTTTGTAATTTTCAACCCCAATTCCCCCAAAAAACGTCAGCTCCCAGGTGCAGCTATCTCGGGTTTCGAGCTCTCCGGTGGTTTCCAACCTTGTGCCGTGTTCCGATTAGTTTTTACTGTGTTTCAAGTTGAGTTAGAGCTACCGAAGGGTTTGGATGCTAGAAAATAGTAAAGCAAGTTCCCGAGTGCGAAGGAGCTTGTGTAAGCCAAGTACTGTGGGTAAACGTGCTTGATCGCGAGTAGCATAAATACATCCATATTTCGTGATCGAAGTCCGTAGTTCAGAGGTGAATCGAGATGTCTGAAGAATTTAAGGTTGATATACTGAAGCTTCGAATGTCGGACTTCGTTGCTTGAATGTCTGTCTAATTTTGGTTAGTCTTCTAGAGAGAGTGTACTTAAGAGTTCATGGTGAAACTACAAGGACATCTCATTATCTATAGTTTGCCGGATGAGAGTGAGAACTGGGCTAGGTTAGTTTTAACCAAAGACGTGGTTTTCAGTCTTGAAATTTAAATAGTGACACAGTTTTTCAGTCTTGAGATGATGAATTGAGTTTCTGAAAATGGCGCTTAAGCTTCCAGCGGGAGAGGCTGCTAAGGTGGCCTTTAGTTCAATTGGTCGTGGATATGATATCTCCTTGGATCTTAGACTAAAGTATTGTAAGGGTGATTCTCGTTTGATCGAGATTGATGAGGATCAGGGTCTTGAGATTGTTCTTCCAACTGGAGTTTCAGTTCCTAACGTGTCGAAATCTATCAAATGCGATAAAGGGGAGCGGACGAGGTTTCGTTCCGACGTTCTCACCTTCCAGCAGGTTCTGCTGTTCCCAACGTACTTATCTTTGGCTTTCAAGATTTATCTATTTGTTGGTGGAAACATCCTTAATATCTTTCTTTTATTCTATGGTTTTAAGTATTTTTTATGGTCATTAATGCTGTAAAGTCGCAATTCACTTGGCTAAAGAATATATGTGCATAATGCTAGGCTAATGCATGAATACTTTTGTTTGGCCATTTTGTCTGTTCCTTTATGTTATTTCCAATATTTGGCTCTTATGGACATTTGGATCAGATTTTGAGTGGTTGTTTTGGGTTTTGAGGGGTAGGGCTTCAGGGAAGGATCTGAAACCACTGTATGTCTGAGATCCATCAGAACTGCTTAAAAAAGTTAAGAATTACTATAGTTTTGTAATCATTAACTTCAAATCATCCATGCAAATGACGATTTGGTTAATTTGTGCCAACATTGGAACTTCTCCATTCTATATTTTGCATAGCATCTGTGGTTGATGATATCATAAAAGAGCCTTAATCTCTGCCCTACAGATGTCTGAGCAATTTAATCAAGAGCTATCATTGACTGGAAAGATTCCTTCAGGGCTCTTCAATGCTATGTTTGAGTTTTCTGGTTGTTGGCGGAAAGATGCTGCGTACACCAAAACCCTTGCGTTCGATGGAGTATTTATAACGCTGTATACAGTTGCACTAGAAAAGTCACAGATGGTGCTTAAGGATCACGTGAAGAAAGAAGTTCCATCGACATGGGAGCCTGCGGCATTGGCAAGGTATGGCTTTTGTTTTCTTTAAATGTTTTTGCTGTAAATAATATTGCTTCATTGCCTTTTAACCTATTTCAGCAGCCTTTGAGTCTATTGGAATACAAGTATGTATGCATGCGTGTGTTTGTGTTGCATCACTTACAAAACACTCTGTGTATATATAGTCCCCATTTAGTGCTACATACTGTAAGACCATGATTGTTTGTCATCTTATTTCACAAAATTTCTGCTCTATGCTTTCATCAAACATGAAATTTATTGTTTCCCAGAAAATGTAATAGTCTCTCATTTCGTTTTTATAGTCACCTGTGACATTGAGCTATAATTTCATTAAAATATTAATCACACTTAGTTCATGACACTAGTTTAAAATGGCGAATGGCGAGGCGATTCGCCATGGTGAGGCCTCAGCACACATGTAACCGAAATGTAGAAAAACAATATTATAGATGATGCAGTTGTATATTTATGCTCAAATGAAAAAAAAAAAGAAGAAAAACACATCAAATATATCCCAAAAAGGCAAGAACACAAATGAAACACAAGTCCATAGCAGAAACACCACTTAGGAAGTACAAATAAATCATAAAATTTGGCACACGCATAGTTAAGTACTAGAAATAAGCAGCTGACCTGTTTGGCAAACACATAGTTAAACCCTAGTTTTCTTTCTGTGAAAAACTCTGTTCGACGACCAGCCTGTTTCTTTTCTTTAGTTTCACGTCCTCTCTTTCTTTAGTTAAAACGTGTTGCGTTTTTATTTTTATTTTCTTATTAAAACAGATAGGAGCTGAGGTGCGCCACGCCACGCGAAAAGGCGAGCTGAGGCGACCTGAGACGGGCGCCTCAGAAACATGGTCACCTCAGGCAGTGGCGAGGCGGTTGACCCCTCGCCTCGGTCACCTCTCGCCATGGCGTCGCCGTTTTAAACTATATAAGACACCTATCACAATCAACTACTTTTTACTAGAAACCATCACATTAGCGAACAAAATTGAATTTTCATCTCATATGCATTTATGATGTAGTATAGTATTTATCTTTATTTTCTCAAATTTTTTATTTAATTATCTTTTTTTTTTCCAAACATTAAATAGCCCAGGCAAGCACCGTCATTATTCTGAATTGATTTTCACACTCACCCTGTGACTTGATTACCAGTTGAAACATCAGAGGATACTGAAAGCTATTTCTTATAAATGGTACCTTAAGGTTTAAAATAATAGAGCACGCAAATTGCGGCAGATGCTATTTAGTTATTGTACTTGCAGTTTAGTGGTGAGAAATAAGCCTTTTGAGTCTTGAGAAACCTTTTATACAGTAATTTACATGAAAACCTGATTGCTGCGCTTGGATATATTTGGACTTAAATGTATGTTTCATGTCCTCCAAATTCATCAATCATTTCTATTTCATTATTTTTCCTTCTCCTTTTCTTCCTTTGGATTCTTTCTTTCTTAATCATATGTGAGGAGTAGAACAATTCTGAGAATACCTCTGTTCAAGAAAAAGGAACTCATGTCCTGTTTAGAGCAAATTTATGAATTCTGCAAGCTAATAGTGTGATTAGTATCTTAATCTCATCAATGATGCTGTCAGACAGTTAACAGTTTACGTAGTGTCCTAGTAATAATTACTGTGAATTTAGCAAATAGGTCCACATATAATTTTTTCCATTAATTGATATCAGACCATCTTTTCAGGTTTATTAGTAAGTTTGGCACTCATGTTATTGTTGGCGTGAAGATGGGCGGTAAGGATGTAATTTACATGAAACAACAACATTTTTCATCACTCCAACCAGCTGATGTGCAAAAAAAGTTGAAGTCTATGGCAGATAAGAGGTTCATGGATGCAAATGCACAAAATGAGCTGGATTTAGAAATATACCAAAGCCAGAAGGTATGACATTTGTTTTAGTTGTTCTGGAATAAGTGTAACTGTCTATCAATGTGAAAATGAAAATCTAAAACCAAATTTATTCCTTTAACTTATTACTTTATGGATGAGTTTGTGTGTGGGGTATGAACACTACAAAGGTCACATTATCTTCTTTATTGAAGTTGACATCAACTCCCTTTAGTTGATATTGTTGCCTAACCAAAACTGCATCTATATGCGTTAGTTTGTGGCTGCTGCCTCTATCTTGCTGCATGCAGCTCTTACTGTTGTCTTCTTTCATTTTTCTTCATATTTGTTTTCTTTTTCTGTTTTTACTCCTTCCTTCTCCTCAGTATAAGATATACTTGGAACGTAGTCAACTACCTAACTTAACACGCTGACATTGCAGTTAGTTTTCTAAACCAGCTGAAACATGAAGGGCCTGTTTGTATACAAACAAACCTGTTTTTTATTTTTTTATTTTTTATTTTTTTGGTTAACCATGGTTAATTTTAAAAAAGTTGGTTTGATTAGTGTTTAGTGGGATATTAGTATAATATTTAAAATTGATGTAAAAGTAGGAGATGATTGGAAGTGATAGTTAAAATTATATGAGTGAATGAATAGAGAATTAAAATTGATGTGATGTACAAGAGTGGTGATTGATATTATTTAATTATATTGATAATATTGAGGATAGTGAAGTCGAGTTAAAGTTGAGTTAGACTTTGAGTATGAATTGAGTACGGATACGAGTTTTTCTTATAAACAAACACCCTCAAAAGTATCCAAACGATTGTTCTTCTCTGCAAGTTCTTATCAATATGAATTACGAAACCATTGGAGTCTTCATATTCACTCATATTCACACAAAAAAATAGGTTTTGTGGTTGTTTTAAACTTTATACAAAGTCTAATGACAACATATCACATAGACAGTTTACTTGTTTGCTAGTTAGTCTCTGATATTCATCTAGCATCAGATGCAGTTAGTGTTTATCTGAGTAGTTAATTGAAGTTAAAGAGTTAATTGTGGAACAAATATGTGCCATCTTACGTAGTGGAGTTTTGGAGCAAAATCCAAAAACTTCAGTTCATGTCTAAATTTACAGTATGCTTATTTTTTCTTAATTGATTGCTGTTTAATTTGTAGTCAGTATCGATCGTGGAAGGTTCACTCTTTTTATGGGTGGCTGGTAGACAGTTTATGGCTTACCTGCTACATCTCTTCTTTTTTAGTTATTTTTTATTTTTATAAAGAGATCATGTAACACTTCGCTCCTGTTGTTTAGAGGCTTTTAGTCTATGCATACATTCTTAATCATAATATCTGTTCAGTGAGAAGATGGATGATTTACTTTTTCATGGTGTTTGACAATTGATGCATTTTCTGCTCATTTATCCTTTTATTTTCTATAACTTTATCAATCTTAACCTCAGTTTGAAATGAAGGAGTCACGGCTCAGGTTCGCAGATAATGGCACATTAAGTTCTTATTCACATAAAGATGTGAGTCTTTTATCTTTCATGGTCGCAATGTCACTGGTATATTTGTGCTGACTGGTTTAGGTTTCTATTTATGTATATTTGTTTGTTTGATTGGATAACAGGACATCGTTAGCATCTGCAAAAGAAGAGGAGGAAGTGATGGAGGAAGTTTGACGCACAATGAGTGGCTACAAACAGTTCTGTTGGAGCCCGATGTCATCTCAATGTCCTTTATACCGATAACATCATTGCTAAATGGCGTTCCTGGAAGTGGATATTTGAGTCATGCCATAAATCTGTATTTGCGCTGTGAGTGGTCTCTCTCCTTTGTCTGTCCTGTTGAGTTTCTCCAATTGCACACGCTTCCGCTTAAAAATGAAAAGGAGGATTCGTTGCTCTCGCTGACCCAAGTGAGAACAACAAGGAGATGTGGTCTCCCATAAGTTTAGTAAGATAAACTTTGAGAGCATTCGGGGGTGAAAAAAGCAGCAGAAAACAGTACTAGAGTTTTCATAGTCAAAATTGGTTTTACATAAAAATATAATTTGGATCGATGTTAAAATGTTAACTTATAATTGTCACATTGACCTCCATACTTAAAACATAAAAAAAAGGGAAAAAAAAAATGATTCTTCAACATATTGTTGGGTGGCAGTCTCAAGCCATTTGAGATGTAACCCTGTCTTGTTCTTCGCGATGTAGACAAACCACCAATTGAAGAGCTTCACCAGTTTCTGGAATTCCAGCTGCCTCGGCAGTGGGCACCTGTGTTTAGTGATCTTCCCCTTGGCCCTCAACGAAGACAGCAAAGTTCAGCTTCATTGCAGTTTAGTCTCATGGGTCCCAGACTTTTTGTAAATACTACAGTGGTAAGCTTTGTTTCCTCCTTTTTACTAGATACACATCCCCCCTTTCATTTATGGCGGAGGTAGTATGAGAAAAAAATATTACTAGGACGATTTGGCATATTGCTGATTTAACGTGTTTTCGAAAATTTGGTATGTAAGTTTGGTTTTTCACTTGCTGGTGTAATCAAATATGGTGAAACCATTAACATGTTCAGGTTGATGCGGGCAAGCGGCCCGTGACGGGGATGAGATTGTACCTTGAGGGCAAGCGCAGCAACCGCCTGGCAGTCCACCTGCAGCACCTCTCCTCTCTTCCCTCAATCTT